GCTTGACACTGCCCCCAGGAGAGTCCACTATCGGAACACACCTAATGCTGCAACGGGCGTTCCGCCTATCAAAAGATTATTCCCGCACACGACAAGAATACATGGGATTTGCTAAAACCAATAAAAACAAGGGACAACTCATTATAGAAAGTCATATCGCCTGCAAGAGCAATAGAGATTGGTGACAAAGTATGGTTCAAAACGTTTAGAGACAACAAATGGGACAAGGGCATGGTCACTGACAAAGAAGGCAATTTGACATTCAGAATAGACACGGGCTATACTAAAGTCAGGAGACATCTGGATCAGATTAAAAGGAGATCCTCGAATGATGTTTCTATAGCCATGATTAAGGACAAGAGTTCACCAACACCATCCGCAATCGATAGGCGAAATGGTGCATGTCCTGCTGGGAAAATATACACAGAGTTGTTAACGCTCCTTTTTAAAAGTAGGTAGCTCCAGCTCCTAACCTTCTTAAAAGGAGCTAGCTCCCGCCTCCGCTACTACATTTTTAAAAGGAGCTAGCTCCCGCTCCAAGTAATGGAGCGCCACTCCATAACCGCTCCTTTGATTTAGAAGGTACAAGAAACAAAATCATATTTTTTATCAAAAGGTTTTATTTATATTAAATGATCTATCAAAATATTTATAATCTTTTATTAACCTTTAAAAGTAATAAATTTTCTAAATTAGAATCTAAAAAACATCCATGCTTCTCCCCTATGACCTGTTTTGCTATACTAAATAAGCGCTCCACAGGAGCACTAGAGGGAAGCGGGGTATTGTATTTTATGTAGATATTTTTTAATTCAGGTATATAAAAGGAGGTTGAACAAGTAATGAGAAAAAATAAATATTAAAATATATTTAAACAACCCAGGCTCAACTATAATGAATTGCCCAAAAATAATTATAACCATTTAAAAAAAAATTATTCAAAAATAAGAAAAAATATAGTTATCATTTTGTATTTAAAAGAAAGGTTTTTTACTTTTAAATGCTTTTTTAGATTGAAGCTGCTCGCTTTTGAAAATGAAATATTTTTACTTATCCACAAAAGGCATTTTGCCCTTAAATTTGTTTGATCATTTGGATCAACATCTTTTAGAAGTTTAAAATATTTTTTTTCTAGGATTTCTAGATCCATAATATCGAAAACTATTTTTTATTAATATCTATAAAATGAATATTAATATGACTTACAAGATTTTCCAAAAAATTTTCAATAGAAAAATGAAAAACTTGATGTTTAATATTTAAAATGATTAAAAAACCAATTTAAAACTCGGCTCAACATTTATTAATGGATAAATTTAAATAAAATAAATTTCATTTTTATTGAATTTGAATTAACAAACATTATTAATATTTAATAAATAATTTAATTTATACCTTAAATTTAAAGGAGCGGTGGAGCGGCGCTCCTCCGCTCCAGCCCTAAAAGCTACCCAATTTTAAAAAGGAGGGGGCTGCAGATGTTTTTGAAAAAATGTAGCGGCTTAACAACTCTGTATCTACATAAGAAAAAGGAGCAATATTAAAAAACTAACGAATCCAGTTCTAAGGAATGCTCGACCGGTCAGACTCAAACAAATGCCAAAACATTTAGAAGATTATATCATGAACGCCAATGGCGTTTAAGGAAATATAAGCCGGATTTCTTTGGAAGTATCACCTTTTCGATAAAAAAGAAAATAAATAATAATATAAAATATCTTTTATATAAATATATGGACAAAATTATCGTTTCTTTCTTCTTACATTATTATAATATACATTAACTTAATAGTTTTGTTTTAATGACGCTAACTAAAAATGATAGACAATGTAAAGTGATTGTTTTTTTTATTATTTTAGGTGATAAAGGGTGATAAAAAAATATCAGAGAACACAAAATGTAATTCATTTATTTATTAAATAAAAATACTTAATTCAAATAAATATATTTATATATCAATAACCAAATTTAGAATTTAATAAAAAATATTTATTCAAAATCCATTCCGACAAATTCTTCATACTTAAATTTAATATTTGGCATCTATTTTAGGAATATTTCTCAAAATAACGATTGAAAAAAAAACTTTTTTCTATATATATAATTCAGGCGCGTAACCAATGGGGGGGGGGGAAAGGGGGAAATTTCACCCCCCATAGCAAATTTGACTGTTTTTCTAAATATTATTTTAAGATAATAAAAAATTTTACCCCGACCCCCGGACCCCCTCCCTCCTGCTCCATCAAAATTTTTCAATATCAAGCAGAGTTTATTCTTACTGCTAGTTGCATTGATTTTCCTATAGCTCACTACTATGTAGAAATTTACAAAAACCAAATTTCGATTTGGTTCAAGTTATTGATTTGGAGGAAAATGTGGACAGGAAGAATGAATGTAGTTGAATATTTCATAATATTTATATAGACGCTGAATCAAACTAAATCTTATAAAATATCCAATTTCATTCCATTCTTAGATACTTTTTTATCGCAAATTAAAGTATTTTTAGATAAAAAACAAGTCCTTTGGTAATCTTCAAATTTTATTACCTAAAGACCCTTCTTCCTTTTCTGATGCTATTATTGGTATAATTAAATATTTAGCAAATTTTATTCCTATGATGTTGATACTGAAATCAATTTAATCAGTGAATTCGAATTGTGGTATAAATATTTACTACGTTTATTATTTTACCTGAGCATGCTATTGATGCGCTCAATCGGTATAAGGAGGCTTAATTTCCAAATATTTTGAAGGTATTTAATATTCTTGCATGTTTGCCTATTACAACATATACGAATGAAAGGACCTTTTTCAAATTGAGAAGGTTGAAAACTTATTTACAAAATACTACTTCTCGGCTAAATGGGTTAGCTATGTTAAATATCCACAGAGATTTATTTCTAACGACAAAGAAAATTCTTGATGAATTGGAAAAATTCCCACGAAAATTAAAAATCGCATTATAATTCTAGTATTTAATAAATTTTTTATATAATATTGTATTTAATAAGGTATAAAAACTTGTTCCTTAAAAAATTTTCTAGTCAATATTTTATACACACTACAATTAGAATTTTCAATCAAAAAAATTTTATATTTATATTATATGAGAATTTAAGCTGAGGCTAGTTTTTAAAGCAAATTTATAAAAAAAAAAATTGACACTAAACTTTATTTCAATTTTATATTTTTTAAAAAAAATTTATCTATAATATATTGAACTTAAAATAAAAATTGGGTTATAACTTTTATTTCTTCTTATATTCATAAGCGCGAATTAGTAATCAGGAGCCCCAAAAGAAAGCGACTACTTACGTCAACGCATAGGAATTCAGATTATAAAATCTAATTTTACACGCCATAGGTTCATTCCCCGAAGCTGATTAATCTAGATTTTCTTCTTCTTCCCTAAATTATTTAAACCCACCCCCCCCCCCCTTCTTCTTCATATAATCATTTGCATTTATTATATTTCTATTATATCTATTATTATACTTTGTATTATGAAATCCTTGTTTGTTAAATTTCTTTAATTTTCTAGAATTATGGTTTGGACATGATTTTATTTTTATACTATCATTTTGTCAGATTTAATTTGTCTTTATTAATAAATGTTAAATTTAAAAATTAAAAAAAAAATTTCTTAAATAATTAATTTATAAAAGGAACCAAAATTCAAATAAAAGTTAAAAATATTAATATAATTATTATTGAATTATGAATAATTTAAAAGAATAGATCAAAGATATGACCCGGCCGAAGGTGAGGAAAAAGCTGGCCAAAGGGGGTTTGGAGGCAAAGCCCCCCAAAAAATTTTCCCCTCCTATAGTAAAATCCTGGATACGCCACTGATAATTTAACTTTAAGGCGCTTTCTCCATTTATAGTATTATTATCTTTATAACTTTAAATCCTTTATTGAATGCGCCCTTTAAAAAAGTCCCTGCCATTAAGCTTGCCGTGCTTCCTCGAATTAAGTATAACATCCGAACATTATAATAATCTAATAAATTTATGAAATATTTTTTAATTAATTTATAAAATAAGATAATAATACGTATATTTTCTATTTTGCTTCATAAATGTGTCTTAATTTTATTTTTCAATTAATAACTTAACACGTGTAAATAAATCAAAAATTCAGATTGGGGAAGGAAGGTATAATATTTTTTTTGATTTATTCCAGGCCAGATGAGTGCCCCAAGAAATAAATTAGTCACTTAAAAAGCAAATTAAGAGTGGGATTATTATAATTATAATATCCTTAAAATTGTATTTCAATTTTTTTCTTTTTTGCTGATATATGTTTTATTTTTCTGCTAATTGCTTATAATATATATCATAGTTTCGGACCTAGTTATAGAAATATATTTTTTAATAACTTAATTTAATATACAGTTTAATATGTCCTTTTAAAAAAAAATTTATGACCTAAACCCCTCCTGCATTTCAGATATTCAACAATATTGATGAACCCCTGTCCAGGACTAAGGTGTGTCACAAGGCTCGGAACACGTTATCCTATTCGGGGGTAATCTAAGCGGCTGTAGCGATTGTTAACATTGTTTCTATTATTCAGACTGTTATTGGAGCCTTAAAAAACCGCGATTAAAATTTATAATATTAATATTATTGTTATAATATTGGTGTTGATATATTTAGAATTGGATTCAAAGTTTAGTATTTTGGAAATTTTTTCTGTATGCATCTGTAATTTTTTTGCATTTTTAAAGTGCCACCAGAAGTTGAAAAAACTAGCGATGTCATTGCTTAAAATTTTAATTTATACTTGTAACAATTGATTCAATAAAAGTACAAACTAATTAATTTTATTGAACAAATTATTTATTTTTTTCTAAAGTTACTAAACTATGTAATTTATACGATTTATTTATTATAAATAATAATATTATACCAAAATTATTTTATAACTAACATATGTTTAATAAAAAATAGATAATACGATTAAATTTTTTTCTTTCTTTCAATTTTTAACACGCCAGATAATTTTATTTTTCCGCCACACTCTTGTATTATAAAATTTTCAGTATCGATTGGTTTATTATTTATTATACAATTTTTTCAAATGTATACATATTTATACGTTCCCTTTTTTATCTCAAAACATCACATTATAAAATGTGTTGTTTGTTAGCCCTCTTTAGTGCATTTAAAACGACGAGCAATCGTCGATATAATCTTCTATTCCTACAAATAATATTTAGTGATTTTTAAAATAAAAAAAAACAAGAAGAAATCATGTAATTTTATTGTTATATTTGATTAAATGATCATCAATATAACGTCTTCTTATGATCAAGAAACAAATGTCACAAAAATCACAGAAACAAAGGGAATTTTAATCGATGTTCAAGAGACACCTTTGTCTTCCATATCATCGAAATTCTTCATTCAGGACGATTCGGAAAGAGAAATGTTTTACAAGTTGCCTTTATATATTAAAATTTTTATTATTACACTGTTACATCCCTCGTCATTATATGTACTTGAAGCAGGCACACTATTTTGGGTGCCGGCTATCAGATGTTATATGTAGGCTAGAGATGGGAAGGGAACGTCGATAGACTAATATGACACCGCATGTTGACAACGGAATTGTTAACTTTAGTCGTAGTGGTCGCTTTTACCGCTACGATTAAATTAAGAAGCCGCGATTACGATTAGAATCGACAACAAATATGAGGGTTTAGCAATACCTAGATTTGTTCAGAGTCTAGAGTTTTACATTAGGTTCCGCAAAATGAATTAAGTATATGTCACATGTTTGAATTTCTTTTATATTTATTTAATATACACGGTATAAAAAATTACATTGATACACTAATTAATGAATTTAAATAAAATCAAAAATATTTATTAGGTAATGGCATAATAATAAATTAATATGTCCAACTCCAAAAATTTTTGTATTTACCATTTAAAAGTTATTTATTATATTAGTCGTTTTAGTCGACCAAATTAGTCGACTAATAGACTAATTTAGTTGCTAAAGTTTTTAGTCGAATTTTTCGACTAAAACTATTAGTTAGTCGTGTGTTAGTCGACTAAATTTAGTCGATTAACAACACTATGTGTACGTTTAAAAAAACCAATCATATAACATACAATTATAATTTTTTTTAAAAGGGAAGGGAGTACATTTATGTGTATATTTTGTTTAGTCAATCTGAATTATTAAACACAGGCTGGACATAAAGGACAATAAAACATTATTTTATTCACTATGTTTTTAATTGCGCGTAAATACTTCCACGTTACTGTCATCGATTATCATAATTGGGGTCTTTTGAGCAATATATATCCGTTACATTGACTGTTGTCTTAATCATTTTGGGTCTCTCTTTCAGAATATATTCATTTTTTTTATATCACTTACAATACCATAGGTGTGACAATTTTTAGATACCAAAATTTATAGCATAACATGTAAGATATTCATTCTTAAAATAGATAGGGCACCTTTACCGATAATGGATTGCACGAAGCCCACATATTTTATTTATATATATACAATGTAAATAATTTGAACTAAAATTCATTATTACAGTAAAGGTTATGCATCTGATTTGAGAAAAAAAGGCACCTAAGATGCTAAAAGTGCACTGTATATTTAATATGTAATAATAATCAAAGGCTAGAACATAAGTATAATAACTTTGCAGATGTTAAGTATTCATCAAAATTATGCTGGTTCCTCGAGGAACGATTAAAAAAGCATTGTTAATGTTAAACTTTTTAAAAAGAAAACACCTATTTTTATCACTAAATTAAATTTGAATGCGCAAGAGTCTTCTTAAAAAATAACTGACCCCTTTATTGATTTCAAATTAAATTTTTAGGAGAATTCGATAGATATTTGAGTTAGGGACCAATTTCAATGCGGAGTAAACTCACCAATAGATGAAAACACATTTATTTGATAGAAAATTTGAATACACCCCCCCCCCCCCTCAAACTAAACAAAATATTTTGCCTAGTCCTAGCTGACTGGAGAACTCATGACGTAACTCGAACATTAGCTGTTTATAGATTTCAAAATAGTTAGTGGGTATAATCAGAACGATAACGGTCAGAATTCACATGGTTATATGATAATAATCATGTTAAATGAGTAGGAACAGGAACATTCCAGAAGAAATCCATAGATTTTGAAGGAACGAATTTAGAGTTAAGCCATTGAATTCCGGTAATTAAAAAAAATAAAATGTAAACTTTATTAATTATTACAACTTTACTAAAGGTTGAAAAAAAATCTCAAAAAATTTTAAGCAAAAATCGTTGAAGATTTTTTTTGCAGAACAGATTTTCGATCAAATTTTACATAAAAATATTAACTTTGGCAAATTTAACAAATATAAAAAAACATGCATAAGAAATAACAAATTATGTGAGTTTATATTGCAATTGACACCAAGTCAAGAGGGGAATGAGTTACTAGGGCAATGGAAATTTAATTTAATGACTTAGATTGCAAGTCTTTGACGAAGATAAAATCCTTGGATCTTCTGTTTTGACTGAAATTTGCCTAGTCATTTATAAAAAAAAAATCTAAAATAACGATAAAGTTAATTTAAAAAAAAGTATTAAATTTATAATTTGGAAATTAAAATCATGCAATATTACTTCGGTTTGAGGTGGGGGGGGGGAGTTGTTATGCCCATTTTTATCAAAAAATAAAATAACCAAGTATATTCAGTTATTCACATTCCTGATTATATATTTTTGTTTCATACCAAAATAGGTATATTATAGATTTATTTCGCGTTATTGTGGGAAGAGAGAAAGTGAACTCTAATGACTTTAATATAAAAATAGATGTTTTCTTTTTAAAAAGTTTAATTGTTTTGTTTTGTAAAATTAGTTAGGTCATTATAAGAGAAATATTTTAAAATGAAACACGTTTAAATTCCAATTCCCCAACTCTACCCCAAAAATATTTATCTCTTTAGATGTCATTACAACTCTAGAAGAAAATGACTCCTACCCTCCCTCAGTTAATATAGACACGGAAATTAGTAATTAATACTCATTATTTATAGGATTATTTCCACATGAAAACACCGAAAAATCATGTTTGATAATGATTAAAAAATTCATTAAAAAGTTTTTTTAAAAATATAAATTAAGTTGATTATATTTTTATATATTAAATATATAAAAGCATAGAGCCTGTTCAAAAAACTTTTTTTCTTTATATATGTTATTAATATTTTGGCCAAATTTTTATGACGCAAGTAAAATACAAATGTTAGTTTTTTTTCGTTAAAAGCATATCATTCTTAAATTAAATGTCAAATGTGTTAGTCTAAAAATATAATTGACAGAATGTTATAAATTATAGAGTGAAATTTAATTAGTTGAGATAATCCGACACCTTGTTTATTTTATAACTATGATAAATTTCGAGTAGCATTTTATAAATAACCAATATTGTTAAAAATACATAGTGATAGCTAAACTTTGAACACAGGAGATAACTTTAAATAATGGTTCTCTTACTATCACTATTACAACATGTATGATATACATAGTGAACTGCAATTAATATTAAGACTTTATAATTTGTTGGTAAAATATTTTAGACTATAAAATAAATCTTTAGCATGTTAATGCCGTTTTAAAATCTCGTTTTTAAATATTAATCATTTTGCAAGATGTGCCGCTAACTGAAATTATTTATAAAAATGATATTAGTTTTTACCTTCTAACTCCTTTAGAACTTACTAATTATTTTCTTAGTCCTTTATTTTATTTCTTATTTTCTTTCAAAGCAAAATTATACACTCTTTATTAAAACTTTATTTAAAAAAGTAGAATAATTAAAATATAATGAATTCAGCCTTTTTATATATATAATTAATAAGTTAGATTATAAATATAAATAATAAAAATAATATTTATGAATAATTTTCCAACTAAATAAATCAGGTCTCATCTCATGAGTCTCACAATTTAATCATTGATTAAATGATATATATATATAATAAAAAAAAACACTCACAATTGGTATCAGCCCAAAAATTATTGCGCGTGAACAAAAATAAAATAAAACACCAATCATAACAAATCAATTTGGGATTATTTAAAAAAAAATTGTATACCTTTCTTTCACTAATAAACAATTTCACTAAAGAAATAAAAAACTAAACAAATTTTTAATATTTCTAAAAAAAATAGTTTATCTTATAATAATTTCATATAATTTTGTGCTGTGTCTTAAAATTCACGAAAAAGAGCATCATTGTTTTTCATACAGAAAAATGATTAAGAAAATAGAATCTTGTTACATATACAATCGTCGGTGAATAGCCATATAACGAAAAATGATTTTATATTTTGGTTATAAAAGGAATTTGCTCTCTGAAACCTAATAAGGGCTAATGGGAATAGTGTTAAAATTGGAACGAAGACCTTAAACGTGCTAGAGTATTGTTCCAAATATTTAGAATGATAATATTCACAAATTTTTATCTTTATCTCATCAGCTTGACATTACCAAAAAACATATATATATATGGGTTAAGATAATTTTTCTAATTGGGTTATTCACCTACCTATTCGTTTGTAGCATGAGCCAAATGCTTGAAAACGCAATGATGGGATAGCGACCTTTGACATTTATTTGCTTATATCATCCTAATATTTTACTTGCAGATCTAAATCCCTTTATCTTTAAAAAGAACTCTTAATTTCCCTTTGGTAGTTTGTTCTAAAAAAAAAAATTTATATCTCACCTTTATTTTAATTTTACTTTATTCTTTATTTAACTAATTGGCAAAAATATAGAAAAAACAATTTAAAAATAGAATACTCACAAAAGGAGTATTTAGAAAATAATAATTTATTTTGTTTTTTCTTCTTTTTATATCAATTATTATAAAATGAATTTTGCATTCAAATATTTTTAATTTTTAGACAAAAACATATCAAAAAGTATCTGAAAACAGATAGAGATACCTCCACAATAGTATCTAGATAAAGACCCCTTTATAAATTTTGCATAGAGATACAGGTAATTTGAACCCGATTTAGCTATAATGAACCTTTCATATTTTAGGGAAATAATCCTTCTATTATTTTATATATATTAACATAAAAGCCAATAAATGTTACCTTTATTATATTTTCAATGAAACATAAATAATTACCTTTTAAAAGGGAATTAAATATTTCTATTAAAAAAATTATATAGCTGAAATTGATGTATTTTTAAAAATGTGAAAATCTGGTTAAGTGCTATTAAACGACTCGATTTTGGCCGATTTTTAAAAACGGCTAACTCTATATTTTATCCAGAAAGATATTACGCAAGACTGAAGATTTTGCTAATAGATGGCACAAAGGGTTAGACATCTATTAGTAAAATCTACAGGCTTAGGCAATATTTTTCTTACAAAAATATTGGGTTATCCGTTTTAAAAAATTGACTCAAATCAGCAATACTAATCTGGTTGGATAATATTTAATTTACTGAATTTTTTTTTTATTTCTTAAATTCTTACCCCAAAAACATTTATTTTTAGTAGAGTTTGAAAAAAAAATCTTAAATTTATAAACAAAATTTTTAAAAAGATTCTGATTTCATCTTAAAAGGCTTTTTATGCAAGAAAATTAACAAATAATTAACTTATCAAAAAGAATTTTAAAAAATAATTTTGCCATTTTTAGTTAAAATTTGGTCAAAAAAAAATCTCACTTCTTCAAAAAAAAAAATCTATTTTTCAAACTTTATTTTTTGATAATAAGAATACTGCCCATTTTTGAAATTTACTGCCCGAACCCGAATTATACTGCCTAAAACATTAATTTTTTGACATTTTGATTAATTTAATGTTCAACAAAAATTATAACCGAAAGAAAAATACACCTAATTTAAAACTTTATAGATTACATTACAATACAACAGTTAGTTGTAAATTTAATTTAAGTCTGCTTAAATCAAACATGTTACCTTTTTAGCAAACTAAATATTGTGTTTGCTACACCCTAAATTAAATATACCTGATATTAACACCATTTCTGTTCCATCACTAGATATAAACTTGCTTGAAGTAAGTGGGAAGGTGCGAATTGTATTTATTACCCATTTACATGATTTTTTAGGGAGACATATTATAGGCATTAGTGAGGAGGAATAAAGGGCTAATTAGTAGTGTTGTTAAAAAATCCGATTTGAATCGATTCTTAAAAATAGTTCGTTAAATATCTTAGCCAAAATAATATTATGCAAACCTCGACATTTGGCAAATAGATGTCCAAGTCTTTCTGACATCTTTTAGCAAAATCTATAGACTTACATAATATTATTTTGGTTATGATCTTAATCAGGACATTTTTAAAAATCGACTCGAATCGAGCTTTTTCCAACACTAGTAATTAATACCCATAGAATAAAAAAGTAGCGCCCATTATTTTTTTTAGAAATTTTTAAGCGCCCATAAATGTATTTAAATTATATTTTGTGATACATTTTATTTCATTTTTATTAAACGATAACTTTAAAGTAGCTAAAACGTTCATATCCATTTATTAAACAAAGCCAAAAATTATCTCTTACGACTATTATACCCAATAATTAAAAAAAATCATCAGCTTTTAATTCCCAACTGAATAAATTAAAAATATCTGATTCCTCTGACATCGATTAACATGTATTGGGATGCAGACTTTTACGGGGATTTTGAATCTGTCAATTTTATAATATAATGAAGACCATTTTAAAATTTGGATAATCTGATTGACCTGAAATGTATTTCAGTAAGTATAAAGTAACCACATTATGAATTTTAAAATATTTCCCGCGAAACCTTATAATTTATAGTGATTATGAATTTTTCATATAAATAAATAGAAAAAATACAAGAAATGGCGAAAATTGTCTGAAATTCATAGGGTATGTACTCTATCCATCCTGGAATACATTTTCGGTCAAATAAATTTTTCAAATTTGAAAATCGCATTAAATAAATGATTTAAAAATGAGAGTTCCATATCCCAATACGGCATATATATTTAATTAACCTATGATAATCAAACCTTAGCTCTAATCTATGTTTAAAAAAATAATTATTATTATGTACAAAGAAGCTATGATCCGAGAAAAGGTATACATATTGCAACATTTCTTGGTAGCTTTCTCATCCTGATCCTATGCTTCATAATATACAAGGACAAGAAAAAAGTAATTTTATGTTTCAAGCGATCTATAATGAATGATAATTACAATCTTTCTTATCTCGAAAAATGTAAACAAAATTGTAAATGTTGTGATTCATGTTTAGATCGTAAACCAAGGAGCAATAATGTTTATGGGATGCGCAAAACAGGTCAATTTAATCGTTAATATTTGTTTACAAGCCAAGCCTGAACCCCGCGTTTAAGCTTTCACTGTTTAAAGAGATAAGGAAATAAAATTCTCGCTTTGCATCGAAAGCATTTTATAGCGTTAAAGAAATTGACCAGGCCTAATTATACCTCCAAATTTATTAAACGAATCGAATATTTGCATTGTTCGTATTCAATTCATATACGAATTTTACAAATAATTTCTAGTATTTAGAAATAATTTTGAATATTTGCGAATAACTTGATAGAATAATGGATTTTCATTCGTATTCGATTTGAATTTCCGAATCTAAATTTTTTATTATTCGTATTCGTAAAATACAAATCGAATATCGAATAATTCTTGACATAATAGTCCCAATAATGAATTCATATCGAATTTATCTAAGCCTAGCCATGCCATTTAATTGAATTAATACTAGAGCCTTTTTTTGGTTTGTTTATGAAAAGAAATAAGAATATAAAAATTTGCTTGAAATAAATGCCATTTACAGTCATAGACTATTTAAATTTATTTAGGAATGTCAACAACCGTAGAAAATAGTTTAATATTCATTATTCGAAATAAAAAGCAAATAAATGGTAATGTGTTAAGTTTACAATTATATAGAGGAATTAGATAGATAAAACTTTCTGTTTAAATTTTTAAATGATAAATAATTAATATATCTTCATTTCTAAAAAAATCGATAATAATAGATTCGCGCATTAAATTATACTCTCAGATGCTAAAACATAATCGACAAGAGCAAGTTGCGGAATTTCCAGATGCCATTAAATTTTATAACAATCAAACATACAATTATATCATGAAAGCGGGACTCGGTGCCGCCATAGTGCCAATGTATTCATCGTTTACTCCGTTAAATGCAACCGATAACTACAAATTACTTTTGCTACTGACTGATTCGAATTATTCGTCTATTTATTATCCCGGACATAATAGTTTAAAAAGTGACGATGAAGAATAGCGGAATAAATTTATAATTATAAATCTTATGATTAATATGCTCATTTTTTAAATATTTTAAAATATTATAAATACTTTAAATGTTGACTAATTTTGTAAATTTCTAGTCAAAAAACTATGAAAGGCAATTTATTTACTAGCCATATGAAAGCAATGAAAAATATGTTTTTTAAAATCTTTGTATGTATTTGGACACCCTTTAATAAATATACTTATTTCGGGGACTGGTCTTGTCAGATGCTTCCACAAACCCTTAAAATAACAATTTATTCCCACCCCTCTCAAAAATTTTACACCCCCACTACTTCTACCAAACTAAAATTAGTTTTAAAAAAGGAAATCCAAAGAAAAATGAATTACGACATGGTCATCATAATTATCTTCCCCCTTCCAAATTTAATGATGATCTTACACCTCTCGCACCGTCGCTGGCTCATATTATGAGTTTAATTTACACATTAATATAATTATATATATTTTTTAAGAAATAAATAGATTTTATAATGAGGAAAATTATCAATAAATTTTGAGAAAGTTTAAGTATTTTAGTTTTCTTAATTATTACCTTTGCCATTGATCCAAATAAACAAAATTTATAGAACAATAAAACTAACATAAATTATTTTTTCTTATGACAAAATAGTTATGCTAAAGTTTATTGCTTATAATTTGGTTTTATTATATTATATTGACAAAAGAAAAGGTGCCAAATTAAAGTTACGGAAATATCTCAAACGGTAATAGGGAAAAAACCCCTGGAAAAAAAACCCCTGGAAAAAAACCCTGGATAAAAACCACCGGAAAAAAACACTATGGAAAAAAAACCCCCGGAAAAAACCCCATGAAAAAGAAATTTAAATTAAAAAGAAAATCGTTATTTTTTAAAAAATTTTTCCTCAATTTTCACTTAATTTTTTTAGTGTAACCTAGCAATAATTAATATTGATAAATAATATGCGAATGCCACAATCATTAACAGCTATTAAACTCAAAAAAAAAACAAAAAATATACGAAAAAATATTCGAAGTAATAATGTCTAAATGTCAAGAACGGGATTTACTTCCTGATCCATTATATATATACATGATTTCGAAAAGTCTGCTATGAGCGCGGTTAAAACGGTCATTGGTATGATTATTGTTGGATTATGCAAATGATGATTATTATGCAAATGATTATTTTTAATATTTAAGCAAAAACGAAAATATATACTTGATATGAAATAAGTTAAAACATAGATGATTATTCAAAATTAAGAAATGTATTATAATTATATGAACAAGTAGGGGAGACCAGGGCTAGTCGGCGCAATTTTTGTCAAAATCATCATAGCTCCGAAAATAATGATCAAGATCTTACAAAATACCAATAGATACCTTAAACATCTACCTATAAATATATACTGTTATATTTTTTAAATATTTAATAATTATTTTTCTAGAAAGGTTTTAGTAAAAGTCATTTTTTGAACCTAGTAGCCCCGAACCCGTGGTTAGTCGGATCATCGATGGGGCAAGTCGAATCAAGGGGTTTATTAGGCTTCTTATGGGACAAAAATTTTTTTTCGCAGATTTTAATATATAACTATGATACTTTATTTATATAATATTCGATTTATAATAATAACAAATTAAATAACAATCTTTTTTGACAGAGAACTACTCTACATTGACCAATCTTCAAAATTATGAAAACTTTTATAATCCTGTTTACATATAATGCACACATCTTTTATTAATGTTTATATTTATTAATAATAAATTTACTCAAAATTTATCTAATTCTATATTTAAATATATAACATCATTTGATTTTATTATCAGGCTAAATATAATCTGATAACTAAAATATTCATGTCCAATAAAATGAATTAATTTGCATGTTATATTGTCAATTAAAATAGATATATATATAAATATTTGTTTGTAAGATATAATTCATTTTAATTATATTGATATTATTATCAGGCTAAAATTTATATGCTAAAATGTTCATATCTAATAAAATGTATTAATTTGAATCATATTATATTGTCAATTAAAAAAAAATATATATATATTATATTTGTTTGCTAGATATAATTAATTTAAATAATTGATCTTATTATCAGGCTAAAATTTATATATGCAATATATATAATATCTGTGACAATATATAATATATATTCACAATATGTATATGAAGATTTTAGTTTGCAAGATATTTATATAGGTCTGATATTATATTAAAATTGAAATGTATTATGAAAAATCAATCACATTAATAAATTTATCTAATAATTATTATTTAATATATTACATTTATAAAATATTATATTATGATTATCTGTACAATATATAATATATTTTCACAATATGTATATGAAGATTTTAGTTTGCAAGATATTTATTTAGGTCTGATATTATATTAAAATTGAAATGTATTATGAAAAATCAATCACATTAATAAATTTATATAATAATTATTATTTAATATATTACATTTATACAATATTATATTTTAACCTGTAATAAATGGTATTTTTCTTAATGAGATATCATTTTCATACAGTTTTATAGTTTATTCATAATCTTTTTTTAATAAAAATTTTACTATCTTAAATTTTGCATATATATTTGGGTATCATAAAAATATAATAAAAATTGACTGATTGCGCCGACTAGCCACGATTCTACTAACCTCAATGGTGGTAATATTACTAATTTGATCTTAATATATATTTAAGCATTATATATCAATCTGAAACTTTCCCAAATATTGAAATAGATATTTAACTTTCATATAATGTTTATTTTGTCATGTTTAAACTTTTAATTTTTTAATACAACCTAATAATATAAAGTGAAAATATTGTAATTTTTACGTCAAAAACATGTCATAACGGATAAAATTTTAAATAGTTAAATATTATAAATTATTTTCATTCCCAATTATGGATATTATAGTTTTCTATTTTAGACTAAATTTCAAATTTTAATCTTAACTGGATTTAAAATAAAATCCTTTGAACCGACAAGCCCCTTGAGCCGACTAGCCCTGGTCTCCCCTATAGAAATTATATCTTGTAATATTATTATTCAAATTGAAAAGATTATATTTTATGCATAGATATATAAAGCATGAAAAAAATCAGAAAAAATTATTATATTTTTCTTAGATACGAAATTGTTAATTTAAATAATTTTAGTAATCGATTGTATTTTACATTAATTAAATTCATTATATTTATCTTTAAATAAATCAATTATTCTCAACTCGTAGTCCTTCTCTAACACACACGACTCTTAAAAGTAATGCCGGAGAGAGGAAAATATAAAATAAAATTGAACCAGGGAAGGAAAAGTTCACAAAGGAAAATTTAAGGTAAAAAATATTATAAGTCAATGAAATATTTATGTTATACGGTATTATTAATAATTATAGTTTTTCTATATTCGATTAATGTCAGTAGAATAATTAAATTTTTTTTAATTAAATTTTTATTAAGTACTCTGTAATGTATATTGCACAGATAAATATGTGGAATTTTTTAATAGATAACATTTTGTTAATAGTTCTTGTTTTGATGTTTTTAGTTTTTGTATTAGGTATAACAATATGAAGAAATACGGCTTATATTAAAATAGAAAGTAGAGAAGTAGAAAAATTGAGAAATTTAATAAGAGAAGAAGCTAAGGTAAGACATATAGATAATTACCGATAGATAAGGTGCTATAGTTGTGGTCAGCCGGGTCACATGTCCCGACAGTGTGAATTAACCAAAGATTTAAAGTGCGCGAGATGTGGCAAGAATAGCCACGTAGCAATAAGATGTAGAATGAATAATTTGATCATGAGATGTACTAATTGTGGTCAGGAAGGACACATACAGGAAAGGTGCAAGATTTGATTAGAAAAGAATTTTGAATTTTATGATAATTTTGTTAATAATAAATTTTTTAATTTTGTTAATTATAAATCATGTAATAATAATAGAAGTAGAGATAAAATGAGAGATATAAAGATAAAAAATGGAAGTTTTGAAATATATAGAACAAATAATGTGATTGATGAAGAGGTACGAAATATAGAATTAGAGGGTTTTTTAAAGAAGAATAGATGCCCGAGAATTAATATAAAGATTAAGGAAGTAGAAATATGTTTTTTATTGGATACAGGAGCGGAGATTATTCTGATGAGTATAAAGGATTTCAATAAATTTTGGCCAGAAGAAGAATTTGTTGTAAGAAAAATAAAAGCCAAACAATTAGATGGTAGCATTGTGAAAATTTTAGGTTATTATAGGATAAGGTTGTCTGGAATTAATAAATATAACGTTATGGATAACTACCTTAAAGATCGAGCCAATTTTAGATTGGTGTGACATAAAAACGATAGGTCCTATTTATAATTGGTGGAATTTTTTTGAAACAGTTTCTGAAATTAATAAGACAAATAGCAATATAATAAAGAGTGATTTTGATAAAATTAAGTTACCTATGATAAAAGACAAGATGTAGTTCTCGATAAACTTAGAAATCGATCTCCAGAAATTTTGATTAGATATAGAGACAAAATAGAAGAGAATAAGGTATTAAAAGATATTAAATTAATAGAGGTAACTTCAGCTGAAATCAAAAAACAGATAATGGTGAATAAAGTAGAACAGGATGAGACTGTTGAAGAGAAATGCAATAAGGAAATGTACATTATTTTAGATAAGTACAAGGAAGTTTTTAAAGAAGAATTAGGTACTCTAAAAAATGTTGAAATAGATATAAAGTTATTATAAAATTACCAGGTTAAATTTTGTGGATTAAGAAGATTACCTTTTTCTTGGATAGAAGAAATTGATAAGGAATTAAATAAATGGTTAAAAGAAGGTATAATACGGCCAATAGTGCATAGTGAATGGGCCACACCGTTAGTCCCCGTAAGAAAACCAGATAATAGCTTAAGGTTATGCATAGATTATAGAATTTCGTTAAATCCTTGGATTATCACAGTAGGGTATCCTTTACCGAGAATAGAAGAACTATTGGCAAATTTAAAAGGAGCAACATATTTTTCGAAGATAGATTTCTCTAACGCATATTTACAGATTAAGGTGAGTGAGAAATCAAGTATAATGTTAACAATTACAACACATAGAGGTTTATTTGCCGTTTGTCGTTTACCATTTGGATTGAAAGTATCGGCTCCGATATTTCAAAGAACTATGGCTGCGTTATTTCAGGGATT